CAGGGGTAATATCCAGGGGGTAGTTATATGGTGTCCTCTCTCTCCCCAGGGGTAATTCCAGGGGTAGTTATATGGTGTCCTCTCTCCCCAGGGGTAATATCCAGGGGGTAGTTATATGGTGTCCTCTCTCTCCCCAGGGGTAATATCCAGGGGGTAGTTATATGGTGTCCTCTCTCCCCAGGGGTAATTCCAGGGGTAGTTATATGGTGTCCTCTCTCCCCAGGGGTAATTCCAGGGGTAGTTATATGGTGTCCTCTCTCTCTCAGGGGTAGTTTTCCAGTCTATGAGTAATTCCAGGGGTAGTTAGATCATATCTACTTTCTCCAGGGGTAATATCCAGGGGGTAGTTATATGGTCTCCCGCTAGTTGCCCCGGGTCTCCCGCTAGTTGCCCCGGGTCTCCCGCTAGTTGCCCCCGCTAGTTGCCCCCGCTAGTTGCCCCCGCTAGTTGCCCCGGGTCTCCCGCTAGTTGCCCCCGCTAGTTGCCCCGGGTCTCCCGCTAGTTGCCCCCGCTAGTTGCCCCCGCTGTTGCCCCGGGTCTCCCGCTAGTTGCCCCCGCTAGTTGCCCCGGGTCTCCCGCTAGTTGCCCCCGCTAGTTGCCCCCGCTGTTGCCCCGGGTCTCCCGCTAGTTGCCCCCGCTGTTGCCCCGGGTCTCCCGCTAGTTGCCCCCGCTGTTGCCCCGGTTACCGGGAAGTAGTTTCTCAGTTGGAAGTTTCCCGGAGACAGACTGCTCTGAGGTGGAGGGCGGGGCTTCGGTAGGCAGTCAGCCAATAGGAGGAGCCGCTAGAGGCTGTGGGCGTGTCCGGACTGAGCAGAACTTCCTCAGATTCATTCATAGCAGCAGGCAATGTGATCATACCAAGAGCCAGTATAATAATAATAATAATTAATTATAGTAATAATAATAATATAATAATAATAATAATAATATAATAATAATAATATAATAATAATTATAATAATAATAATAATATAATAATAATATAATAATAATTATAATAATAATAATAATATAATAATAATATAATAATAATTATAATAATAATAATAATTAATTATAGTAATAATAATAATATAATGTGATCATACCAAGAGCCAATATTATAATAATAATTAATTATAATAATAATAATTAATAATAATAATAATATAATATAATGTGATAATACCAAAAGCCATATAATAATAATTATAATCATAATAATATAATAATATAATTTAATGATACCAAGAGCATATAATAATAATTATAATAATTATTATATAATAATAATATAATGTGATAATACCAAGCGCCATATAATAATAATTATAATATAATAATATAATGTGATAATACCAAGAGCCATATAATAATAATAATAATAATATAATAATAATAATATAATGTGATAATACCAAGAGCCATATAATAATAATAATTATTATAATAATATAATATAATGTGATAATACCAAGAGCCATATAATAATAATTATAATAATAATAATATAATGCGATAATCCCAAGAGCTATATAATAATATAATAATAATATAATAATAATACCTACATAATAATATAATACCTATAAAATAATAATATAATAATATAATGTGATAATACCAAGAGCTATATAATAATAATAATAATAATAATAATAATACAATATAATAATAATATATAATACCCATATAATAATAATACAATATAATAATATAATATAGCAATAATGATAATATAATGTAATAATACCAAGAGCTATATAATAATAATATAATATAATGTAAAAATACCAAGAACTATATAATAATATAATAATAATAATAATATAATAACAATACCTATATAATGATATATTAATACCTATATAATAAAATGTAATAAAACCAAGAGCTATATAATAATATAATATCATATTAATATAATGTAATATAATATAATAGCATTATGTAATAATAATATAATATAATACCTATATAAAAATAATATAATATAATGTAATAATACCATGAGCTACATAATAATAATATAATAATAATACCTATATAATAACAATACCTATATAATAATAATATAATAATACCTATATAATAATAATACACTATAATAATATATTAATACCTGTATAATAATAATATAATAATACCTATATAATAATAATACAATACAATAATCGTACCTATATAATAATAATTCAAAATATTAATACCTATATAATGATACCATGAGCTATATTATAGTAATGGTCACTACTCTATCCTAATTCTCCTTGACCTGTCTGCGGCTTTTGACACTGTTGATCATCAACAGCTTCTTCTCATCCTCCGCAATATCGGTCTACAAGATACTCCTCCCTCCTGGTGCTCCTCCTACCTCTCCCAGCGCTCTTTCAGTGTTTCTTTCTCTGGCTCTGCTTCTTCTCCCCAACTCCTCTCTGTTGGTGTCCCCCAAGGTTCAGTCCTTGGTCCCCTACTGTTCTCCATCTATACTGCCTCCCTTGGTAAACTCATTAGCTCCTTTGGCTTCCAATATAATTTCTATGCAGATGACACGCAAATCTACCTGTCCTCTCCTGATCTCTCCCCGTCCCTCTTGACTAGTGTCTCTGACTGCCTCTCTGCTGTTTCTAACTGGATGGCTGCCCACTTCCTTAAACTAAACTTGACCAAAACTGAAATTCTGGTCTTTCCTCCCTCAAGTGTTGTTACTCCTGTGTCTGTCTCCCTCCAAGTCAATGGTGCTACCATCCGCTCCACCACGCAGGCTCGCTGCCTAGGTGTTCTCTTTGACTCCGACCTCTCCTTCAAGCCTCATATTCAATCTATCACCAAATCCTGTCATTTCCATCTAAAAAACAATGCGCGCATCCGCCCCTACTTAACGCCAGATGCGACTAACGTGTTGGTCCATTCCACTGTCCTTTCTCGCCTTGACTACGGTAATCCGCTTCTCAGTGGTCTTACGTGCTCCCAACCTGTGCCGTTACAGTCCATAATGAATGCGGCAGCGAGGCTCATCTTCCTGTGCGCCCGCACCTCCCATGCCTCACCCTTCTATCAGTCCCTACATTGGCTTCCTATAAAATATAGAGCTCAATTTAAAATTCTGGTTCTTGCTTTCAAATCGCTACATAATCCTCTTCACAACTGCCTATCCTCCCTTATACACAAGTATGTCCCGTCTAGCCCTTATGATCTGCTAAAGACTTATGTCTATCTTCTGTCCGAACTCCCACCTCTGATGCTCGCCTTCAAGATTTGTCGAGGGCTGCACCGTTCCTGTGGAACTTGCTTCCCTCCTCGGTTAGATGCTCACCCAGTCTCCACTCCTTCAAAAAATCGTTAAAAACCCACTTCTTCATAAAAGCGTATCAATTGAACTGTTAATAGCTCCTGATTGATTCCTCTTCTGCAACTATCATTAGTCTAATACTATCCTTACCTCTTTGTGTCATTTTACCCCACTCCCTCTAGCATGTAAGCTCATTGAGCAGGGCCTCAATCCCTCTGTTACTGTGTGTCCAACTTGTCTGGTTACAACTACATGTCTGTTCGTCCACCCATTGTAAAGCGCTGCGGAATTTGACGGCGCTCTGTAAATATCATAATAATAATAATATAATATAATACTACATATATAAAATAATATAAATATAATAATGTAATAATACCATTAGCTATATAATAATAATATAATAATACCTGTAAAATAATAATATAATACCTGTATAATAATATAATAATAATAATAATATAATACCTATATAAATATAATGTAATAAAACCAACATCTATATAATAATAATAATATAATACCTATATAATAATATATTATTATTATGTTATTATTTATATAGCGCCAACAAATTCCGTAGTACTTTACAGTGGGTGGACGAGCAGACATGTAGTTGTAACCAGACAAGTTGGACAAACAGTAACAGAGGGATTGAGGGCCCTGCTCAGTGAGTTTACATGTTAGAGGGAGTGGGGTATAGTGACACAGTAACAGAGGAATTGAGGGCCAGCTCAGTGAGTTTACATGTTAGAGGGAGTGGGGTATAGTGACACAGTAACAGAGGGATTGAGGGCCTGCTCAGTGAGTTTACATGTTAGAGGGAGTGGGGTATAGTGACACAGTAACAGAGGGATTGAGGGCCAGCTCAGTGAGTTTACATGTTAGAGGGAGTGGGGTATAGTGACACAGTAACAGAGGGATTGAGGGCCTGCTCAGTGAGTTTACATGTTAGCGGGAGTGGGGTATAATGACACAGTAACAGAGGGATTGAGGGCCCTGCTCACTGAGGTTACATGTTAGAGGGAGTGGGGTATAGTGACAGTAACAGAGGGATTGAGGGCCCTGCTCAGTGAGTTTACATGTTAGAGGGAGTGGGGTATAGTGACACAGTAACAGTGGGATTGAGGGCCCTGCTCAATGAGTTTACATGTTAGAGGGAGTGGGGTATAGTGACACAGTAACAGAGGGATTGAGGGCCCTGCTCAGTGAGTTTACATGTCAGAGGGAGTGGGGTATAGTGACAGTAACAGAGGGACTGAGGGCCCTGCTCAGTGAGTTTACATGTTAGAGGGAGTGGGGTATAGTGACACAGTAACAGAGGGATTGAGGGCCTGCTCAGTGAGTTTACATGTTAGAGGGAGTGGGGTATAGTGACAGTAACAGAGGGATTGAGGCCTGCTCAATGAGTTTACATGTTAGAGGGAGTGGGGTATAGTGACAGAGTAACAGAGTGATTGAGGGCCTGCTCAGTGAGTTTACATGTTAGAGGGAGTGGGGTATAGTGACACAGTAACAGAGGGATTGAGGGCCTGCTCAGTGAGCTTACATGTTAGAGGGAGTGGGGTATAGTGACACAGCAACAGAGGGATTGAGGGCCTGCTCAGTGAGTTTACATGTTAGAGGGAGTGAGGTATAGTGACACAGCAACAGAGGGATTGAGGGCCTGCTCAGTGAGTTTACATGCTAGAGGGAGTGGGGTATAGTGACACAGTAACAAAGGGATTGAGGGCCCTGCTCAGTGAGTTAACATGTTAGAGGGAGTGGGGTATAGTGACACAGGAACAGAGGGATTGAGGGCCCTGCTCAATGAGCTTACATTCTAGAGGGAGTGGGGTATAGTGACACAGTAACAGGGATTGAGGGCCTGCTCAGTGAGTTAACATGTTAGAGGGAGGGGGTGGCAGTGGACACAGCAACAGAGGGATTGAGGGCCTGCCCAGTGAGCTTCATACATGTTAGAGGGGAAGGGGTACAGTGACACAGTAACAGAGGGACTGGAGGGGCCTGCCCAGTGAGTTTACATGTTAGGGGAGGGAGGGGGGGCAGTGGACACAGTAACAGGGATTGAGGGGCCCTGCCTGGTGAGT